TGGAGAGGAATGGCTGGTTGGGCTTAGCCCTCCAGGGAGCCAGCTCCCCCACTGGCCCCAGTAGTTACCTCTGTTGTCAAATTGCCACCCAGGGTATGGAGACCACAGCCCATCCTGCCAGGGCCCAAAGCAGCAGCATCACAGAGGCTCACGGAGTCCGAGGGCACCAATCCAGCCCCAACCCAGCAGAGTATCTATGCCCATTCCTGCATTTGCACAACTTCCAGAATATATAAGACATAGGACATCCAGGTAAGGTTGGGTCCTCCCCCTCCTGGACCTCCCCCTCCCTGCGATTGGACAGCAGAGGAGCCAAGGTCTACCCGAGTCCCCCGAACCCGGGCCAGGCACTGCTGCATGTTCCTGCCTTCTTCCCGGCAGCATACATGTCAGGACCCGACCCCCAAGGCCCCTCCCAGATCCCCACACTGGGCCGGCCACCTCCACACCCCGAGCCCCCAGGCCCCCACCCAGACCCGCCCAGGGGCAATGCAGCTGTTAGGCAGTGACCCATGGCTGCCGCCAAGACCTCCAAGGGGCCCCACTCACAACCGCCAGAAGTCCAACCCCCGAGGCAACCCAAGCACCTCCTGAGGGGGGCAACGCTCCTCCAGACCCAGACACCCCCAGTGAGCCCACCTCCAGGGAACATCCGGATACTCCAAACTCAGACCCTCCAACCCCCACCCACACCATATCACAGGACAACATCAACGGTCCCCCATCATCGCAATGTGATGGAACCGATCAAAGGAGCCCAGAGAGATTGATTTGAAGTGGAAGCAGAGGCTAAATCAAGTGTAATATGATCTAATCTAGTTAATGCAGAGAGTTTCTCTATTTCTCCGATTCAAGAGGATAGTTTTCTTAGCGATGCAAATGGCAGTCAGAACCACGTGAACCAAAGATGTTTCAATCGGGACATCGCCCAGGTTTCCCAGTAAACAAAGAGAGGGGGTGGTTGGGAAATGACATTTGAGACACTTTGACAGGTCTTCACATACTCTACCCCAAAATTCCTGGACAGGTGGACAGGACCACAGTGCATGAATGTAATTGTCAGGAATGTTGTTTGTGCAGTGTGTACAGGTGTCAGACGACACAAACCCCATCTTGAACATCCGATGACCTGTATAGTGTACTCTGTGTAGAATTTTGTACTGAATTAATTGTAAATTGGAGTGTCTGATCATTTAAAAAGTTTTTTTAAACAAGTTTGGGACCAGAAATTCTGGTCAAAGCTGACTGATAGATCCACCTCCCATTTTTCAATAGGGATTGCTATTCTATCGTCTATTTTGGACAGTGTCTTACATACTTTAGACAGTAGTTTGGGGGGTGTGAGATTATAGAAGTCTAATACCCTTGGTGGTGTTTGTAATTCTATTTTATTGAGCCTAAATTTTTGTTTGACTACAGATTTAATTTGGTGGTATTCTAAAAACCTATTCTTATCTATTCCAAATTGGGAGACTATTCTATTAAATGGGATGAAGTCCAATCCTTCATAAATGTGTTCCAGGTGTAGGATCCCTTTATTTTTCCAGTCCGGAAGGTTCATCATTTTATTATTTTGAAAAATATCAGGATTATTCCAGATAGGTGTGCGTCTGCATTGTTCTAGTGAAGACTCTGTCATTTTAAGATACTCCCACCATCAAAGTCAAAGTCAGTTTAATTGTCACTTCTGCCACATGTACAGGACATACAGATGAATGAAATTACGTTACTCTCAAACTCTCGCTAGATAGAAAATAAACATTTAGTATAAAAACAGTAATCAAGTTCAGAGAGACTGTGGGGGAAAGGTGGGAGAGCCGGGAGGGAGTTTAGCTTCCTAACTGCCTGATGGATAAAGCTGTCCTTCAGTCTGTTGGTCCTGGCCTTGAGACTCTGCAGTCTCCTCCCTGACGGCAGCAGCTCGAAGAGGCTTTGCATTGGGTGAGTGGGATCAGCCGCAATGCGAAGGGCCTTTTTTGTGAGGCGGGTGCTGTAAATGTCTGGTAGGGAGGGGAGAGAGACCCCAATGACCTTCTCTGCTGCTCTCACTATATGTTGGAGGGTTTTAATGCAGGAAACGTTGCAGGCTCCGAACCACACAGTGATGCCGCACGACAGGATGCTCTCGATGGTGCCTCTGTAGAAAGTGTACAGGATGGGGGCTGGTGCTCTTGCTCTTCTTAGTTTGCGGAGGAAGAAGAGACGCTGCTGTGATTTCCTCACCAATGCTTTGGTGTTGTTCGTCCAGGAGAGATCCTCTGTAATGTGCACACCCAGGAACTTGGTGCTGCTCACTCTCTCCACAGACACACCGTTGATGGTCAGAGGAGCATGCTGAGTGTGTGCTCTCCTGAAGTCCACAACAGTCTCCTTGGTCTTTTCCACATTTAGAGAGAGGTTGTTGTCAGCACACCATGTGGTAAGGTGGCTCACCTCGTTCCTGTAGTCGGTCTCCTCCCTGTGGTTTGTGAGACCCATCACTGTTGTGTCATCCGCAAACTTGATGAAGAGGTTAGAGCTGTGTAATGGTGTACAGTCGTGGGTCAGCAGAGTGAAGAGGAGGGGGCTCAGCACACATCCCTGGGGGGGCCCCGTGATTGAAATGATGGTGCTGGATGTGTTTCTGCCGACCCGTACGGCTTGTGGTCTTCCAGTGAGGAAGTCCAACAGCCAGTTACATAGTGAGGTGTTAAGACCCAGCTGGACCAGTTTTTGAGTAAGCTGTTGGGGGATGATGGTGTTGAATACCGAACTAAAGTCTATGAACAGCATATACATATGACATATGAGTCTTTTTTTGTCCAGATGTGTGAGTGCTGAGTGGAGTGCAGTGGAGATGGCGTCATCAGTTGAGCGGTTGGGCCGGTATGCAAACTGGAAGGGGTCCAGGCAGGGGGCCAGAACAGACTTGATGTGTTGCATGACTAACCGTTCGAAGCACTTCATAAGGATGGGAGTAAGTGCAACAGGACAATAGTCATTAAAGCAGGAGGGAGATTATGTTTTTGGGACCGGAATAATTGATGTGGCTTTAAAGCACGTGGGGACAACAGCCTGGATAAGTGATGTGTTGAAGATGTCTGTGAAGACATCAGTTAGTTCCACTGCAGTCTCAGGAACCGGAGCTTTACGTGCATTGATCCTGCTAAGGGATCTCCTTACGCTGTCTGGGGACAGAGTCATCAACTGGTCACCAGGAGGAGGTGGAATCTTCTGTGCTGTGGTACCGTTTTGCACTTCAAAGCGAGCAAAAAAGGTGTTCAGCTCATTCAGCAGGGAGATCGTGCTATCACAGGTCTGTGGAGGGGGCTTGTAATCTATGATGGTCTGAATGCCCCGCCACAAGCTTTGTGTGTCTCTGCTGTCTTTGAAGTGTCGGGATATTTTCCTGGAGTACTGTCTCTTAGCCTCTCTGATACCACGGGAAAGGTTGGCCTGCTGTCAGAGAGGTGCTAATACTAATACTTTTGAAGCCTTCATGTTTTCTTATGCTTGAGCTAATAAATGGTAAGTCTGAAAGCTCTATCGTATTGCAGTGTCTGTTCTATGTCTAACCGAGACTCATCTAGTGGGTTATCTTGCAACCATCTTGGTATATATTGCAGCCTGTTGGCTAAGAAATAATAATAAAAGTTGGGTAGATCCAGTCCTCCTCTGTCTTTGGTCTTCTGAAGTGTTTTTAAGCTAATTCATGGAGGTTTATCCTGCCAAAGGAATTTGGTAATTCAATCAATCAATCAATCAAAGCTTTATTTATAAAGCTTTGATTGATTGAGGATTAATTGAGGAGTCCAGAGATCTAAACCAGTCAGCTTGTGGTTTGTTTGGGATCATTGAAAATAAGTAATTTATTCTGGGTAAGACCATCTTTTTAACTGTAGCAACTCTCCCCATGAGTGATATTGGTACGGATTTCCATCTTGCAAGATCATCTTCCACTTTCTGGGATGTAGTTTAGTTTGGTTAGATCTGCTAACTTGGGAGAGACATTAATTCCCAGGTATGTGATATTCCCTGACTCCAACTGTGTATTAAGTAAATATACATAAGAGAAATTAATTGGTAGAACTGTGGATTTTAACCAGTTTATAGAGTAATCTGAAACTTTTGAAAAGGAGTTTATCAGTTCTATTGAATGAGAGAGAGAGGATTGAGAATTCTGGAGAAAGAGTAAATCATCATCTGCATAAAGACTGATCTTATGTTCTATTTTCTTACACTTTATCCGTTTAATACCTGTTGTTTGCCTAATTGCTGCTGCTAGTGGTTCAATAAAGATAGCAAACAATGAGGGGGAGAGTGGGCTTCCCTGCCTGGTCCCCCTCTGAAGATAGAAGCTAGCTGATATTTGGTCGTTCGTCCTGACACGTGCAGTTGGTGAACTGTATAATGTCTGTAGCATGTATATGAAGAAGTTCCCAAAATCAAATTTATGTAAAGTTGCAAATAAGAACTTCCAGTTAACTCTATCAAAAGCCTTTTCTGCATCTAGAGATAATATACTAGTTTCTATGTTTCTACTGTAAGAGAAATCTATCAAATTAAGTAATCTACCTGAGTTAGTGGATGACTGTCTACCCTTGATGAAACCAGTTTGGTCACGGTGTATTATGAAGGGGGTTACCTTTTCTAATCTTTTTGCCAGGGCTTTACAAATTATTTTAAGATCAACATTAATAAGAGAAATTGGGCGATAGCTAGTAGGAAATGCAGGGTCTTTGCCTGATTTTAACAAGAGACTAATATTGGCTGAGTTCATGTTTGGCTGTAATCTGCCACTCTCTTCGATTTAATGATCCAGAATTCTTTGTAGAACTCTGCTGGAAACCCGTCTGGACCTGGAGCTTTCCTATTAGTCATGGATTTAAGGGCTTCCTGGAGCTCCACTGATGTTAGTGGCAAGTCCAGGACTGTAACTTGGCTGTCTGATAATAATAAATAATAATAATAATAAACATAATGTGCACATAACCATAAGCCTCCATAGCATTAAAACTTACACAGAATTTTGTAGATTGTTGTAGGTATCCTCATCTATGTCGACTGTATGGACAATAGCTGAGGCCCTAGGAAAAATATTATTTTGGTTATAATTTAATCATAAAATAGGTAGTGATCTACAAAGTAACTACCCTGTACTATATACGCTGATTTTACCTTTCTTTCTCTTGAGGAATAGTTTCTTCGTCACAGCTGGCCATTTGTTGAACGCCCTCGACAGAGAAATCAGCTTCTCTGTAATTCACACACACACACACACACACACACACACACACACACACACACACACACACACACACACACACACACACACACACACACACACACACACACAGCTAACACATGATAATTGGTATGCCCTTTTCTATTCAACATTCTTACGCACATGCACAACTCAGTTTGTTTGCTGGGAACTTACCGATCCGACATTGAATCCTGAATTGTCGATACATCTGGAGGCTTTGGTCTTGACCACTGAGTGTGAGTCTGCGGTGTGGAGGTGATGTTATCATAGCTGTAACAAATATAGAATTTTAAACATATTAGTTCTTTGTTTATACAAAATCCAAATATAACAAATATTTCATATGGATGTCCACAGATATTCTTTAAACTATATTCTTCTGAAGGTCATCCAGCTCTACATTTGAAACTACCTCTAATAAATGTATACTATACTAAATATGACATTTCCTTACGTGTTTTACTTTATTGTTTGATTCATGCATCAGGACATTGTCTTTAATGTCTCCGCTCAAAGATGTGTTCAGATTCAGATGCAGCAGTCCCCTTGTCCGCATGTAAAAAAAAAAAAAAACTAAACGGTGCTTTGCGGATCGATGAGCCGACTGTTTCCACTACACTCTCGAAGGATTCAGGATACAGACGGCGGAACGGTCGGAAGGATTCTGTGTCAGCAAAGCACATCTCTTTGGGTAGATAGGCATAAAATCCACCCAGAAGTAAAAGATCGATTGCTATACCTTTAACACACGTCCGTTTTAATTTCTAAACTTTTTTTTCCTCACACAATAACAAGGATTGACGAGAAAGCATGTTTGCCGTGGTTTAGTCAAATTATGCTGATCATAAAACATTTATTTACTTTCTTTCGTTTTCCTCTCATAAATACTTGTGTCCTCCTGCAGCAATCCCGAGGGACAACGGACATCAATAACAACACAATAAAAAGTCTGACATGTTGTGTAAAAACTGCTATTTTTAGCACATTTTTAGGTCAGACGTGTTGCTACCAGAAAGGATGTAGAGCAGGGGGGAGAGCCAGGGGCGCCGTAAAGTGGTGAAAGATTAGGAAGATTCTAAGGGCCCACAGCTATCAGGGGCCCAAAAAAGTTTCAAAGTTGAATAAAAAAAATTTTAGTTTCAAAATCACAAGTACTTTACTTTGCAGTATTTTTTTCTCATTTAAGACATTAAACAAACAATCTTTTAGTCTTTATGAAATGTATATTTATTCAGAGGTCCTTACTTTATTTTGACTAATTAATTAGAACCCCCCCCCCCCCCCCCCCCCCCCAACGGCATAAAATGGTACAGACCACCTGGCCGAGGGGCACGTAGCAGGCAAAGCCAGCTCACGCAGCAGTCAGACAGCAGAGTGCGCCAAGGCTGCAGTAAAAATATGTCTGCAAAAACAAAGTCTGGTTCACAGAAAAGGAAAGAAAGAAGAAAGAGGATAGGCAGAAGAGAGGGCGTCAGTATGTCACACAGTTTTTCTCAAAGAAAGGTGGGTTTAGTTAGTGAGTGGTTAAATTCTACCTGTTTGCTAGCTTTGATATCCACAGTGAGAGGAACTAGGTTTCATCTAATTATGGTAAATGGGTTGTTGTCCTTGTCCCTACCAGAATCAGCAGCTGATGATATGTCAGCAGGTGTCCCCTCACAACCCAATGAACCTCAAGAAGGTGAGCAATGTAGCATGTTAGCTAGTTGCCTCATTTAAGGGTGTCTGTGGGAATCACTTAAGGCTCTCTTCTCTATCAGCACTATTACAAAGGAATATAAAAAGGCTATTTTTGGTGATAAACACGTTGTTTTTCCACATAATGATAATTATATAAATTAATCAGTAAAACTGTATAGATGGTTTTGGATGCTGAGCAGGTTGAAGCATTGTTATTTAGTCTGTTAATGTAACATAAATTACTGTGAGATTATTACTGTGAAGCACCTTTCTGAAGGCACCACACAAGAAAAAAAAACGTCTTCATCTACTTAACACCTTGAAATGAAATGTTTTGAATCTGACTGAATTATGGGAGGTTTTACAAGATGTAATTTGGTTATGTAGCTTTTAGAACACAAACCAAAAATCAGTAATTTCCAAATAATTCATCAGAGAGCAAAACTGAAACAAAAGCTAATAATAATTGTAATAAATAAACTTAATATAACACTGAACACAATAAAATATGAAATCTAGTATTGATGATGGAGAACTACAGCTAATATCCTGCAGGAGTCTGTGCTGCATTGTCCCTGTTGTGCATTAATTTTAAAGACTGTTGTAACTTGGAAAAAGATTTTGTCACAAATGATAGCCTATATTGTAACACATACAGTGATCCCTCATTTATCGCGGTAGATGCGTTCCAGACCTGGCCGCGATAGGTGAAAATCCACGAAGTAGGGACACCATGTATACAGTATTTATTTAACAGGTATGTACAGTATTCAGACTTTTAAAACCCTCCCTTTACATAGTACTGTTAACAAACCACCCTTTAATGTACACTTTATGATGAAATTGATGAAAAAAAACAGGAATTTCTTGATATTTTGCATAGAAAAATACCGCAAATCGGTGAAAAATAACGCAAATCGGCGAATTTCCCTTGCAAAAGATTCCAAAAATCTGCGAAGTCGTGAATCCGCGATAAACGAACCGCGAAGTAGCGAGGGATCACTGTATATCAATTTCATTATGCACAGAGCCTGGACCCTCCCAGTGTCAGGTTTGGTCAGGACAAAGTATATACGTATTCATGCAAAGTTGTCCAACTTTAAAATGTTATGTAAACCTAACTGACTCCGGTTTGAACTGTGTGCTTATTCATTTTGTGTCTATGATGAAGCCATGGAGACTTAATAAAGAAGTCACCTTGTGAGCAGTGAATCCTTAATTTTAGTCAGTCATACAGAAATACTTGATTTCAAGAGGAAAGACAGCTGAAAATGTAGTTATGTAAAGCTTTGACACAACATGGAAATTTAATTAGATATCCAAATTTGAATTTTATCATCAAATAAAATTTTAGAATAAATAAACACATTTTAAGGGAGTGATAGGGAAAAGGAGATTAACACCTTTCCGCATGTGCATTTCCTGCTTTTTCCAGCAGTGATATTGCTAATTCTGTTGAAGGAAATTCACTGTTTAATGAGAGACAGCTGGTGAAAATGATATGTACCGTAAATATGTAAGAATGCATGTAGACCTACATAATTAAGCAAAACTGAAACACTAATATAAATTATATATATTATATTTTTTTCTCCCTCGAATCTGGGAGGGTGGAACCCCAGCTCCAGCTATGGACAAGCCCCCAGGGGGCCCAACTTGATATTTTTTCATGGGGCCCAAAATCTCGGGCAGCCCCCCTGCATGTAATATATCCATCATTTATCCGTGTTACCTTTTAAAGAGCAAGTTACCCCCAAATTACTTTTTTTCTGATTAACTATATAAATGCGTGTCTAATCGTGCTGCAGACACATATAGTCAATAGTTTTGCTCTTTAGTGCATTTTAGTTAAAATTTTAATTTTCTGCCTAAAACTGTCAGTGTTGTGCCGTTGTCAGGCAAAAACTCTGCACTGCATTTGAATTTAAATCTGCCATCGCAATTGGCTAAGGGGTATCCTAGAACGTTAGCTGGTACCATTTGATGTCACAATGTCATTGTGAGTCTTTGTGTGTGTATTTGTTAGTGGCTCCGCTCTCTCGGTCTGCTAGGCAACAGTATTTGTTGCATTTTTCAAACAGGAAGTGGGAGTTGTGTAAGAATCTAGTAGGGGGTGACTCGCTCTTTAAGTTAAAAAACTGAAATAAGTTTTTCACACTATTCTGGCGGTAAGGCATTTCCTGTTTTCAGTGTTGCACTACGTGTAGCTGTTTGGTGTTTGTGGCTTGCTAAAACTAATTTAATTTCTCTGTACTAGGATATCTCTGGGTTATTGTAGCACATAAGCACGCTAAAACACACATTTTCTGTTGTTCCACCAAGCTTTTAGGGAACCATTTGAGTTCACACGCAGTTTATTTGGTTTTGAACAGTTTGCTCGTCCAGTTAGCTTAGCCTCAGAACGACTATGGCTACTTCTGTCTCTGCTTCTCCGTCTCCTATCTCTTTCTCTCTGTGTCAGATGTTTAGTTACTCCTCTGCCTCCTTTAACGATAATGGTACGTGTAATAAATGCTGGGACGTAATTTTGGGGGGGGGGGGGGGGGGGGGGACGGGTGGGACATGTCCCCCCCACTTTTTCAAAAGGCAGTTTTGGTCCCCTGCACTTTTTTCCGTCCAAAAACAATATTACGCTCCATTAAATGGATTTGGTTGAGCACTAGGACCGAAACGGAAACCGCTTTACTATTAGACCCGCCCAAAAGCTAATCTATTGGCTCTGCTGATACTTGCTAACGTATTATTGGCTGTTGCTGCTGTCACTCAAGTTGTAAACAGTCAGAACGTGCTCACGTTGTTTTGCTAGTTTGGAGCCGCTAGGGAACACCGGTACTGAGTCACATCGTCAACTAGACGCTGTGTAATATCAGAGCTCAGCTCAGCTTCCATTACATAACATTTGAATAAGTGTTCATTTGTGAGTCTTTGGTAGTTAGGCACAGCCAGGAGGCAGCATGTCAAGAAAACGAAAAGTGGATAGAAGAGACTTCTTTCAAAGTCAAAACGTAAGTTGGAACATGTGACACCCCTGCATTAAAGCTCAGACTCACCTCCTCCTTCACAAACATACTCAAAACTAACTTTTACAAACTCATCTCCTCCACATAACTGACTCCTCAGACACAATTTATTCGTATTATTATAATTATTATTTTTTTATTATTACTATTATCATCATAATTATTATTACTAGTAGTAGTAGTAGTAGAAGTGTAACTTCAAAACTTTTATCATTTAACTTTATTGTAAACTTATCTATTGCAATGTATATGTTCACATTAAAAAGCTCTGAAAAATGAACAGTATCATCATCGTCAACAGATTTTTTTAAGCTTAATGTCAAAGATGTACACTTTTCATTAGATTTATCTTATTTTTTCCATTTATTTTTGTGTGTTGAAATGCAACAACTTTTTAAACACTTTTAAGGGGAAAAACATATTTAATATGTTTTTATACACTCAAATGTTAGGGTGATGATCATGTGTAAAACATTAGTTCAGCATGTCCTCTAACACAGCAAATGAACAAACGGCCAGATCTCAGGAGGACCGTTTATGTATAAATAATTTTTATACTTTTGACTAGGC